ATATATATATATATATATATATATACTCAAAATCCAAATAATATACTCCATATACTCATTTCCTATCCTGAATAGAAATATAGAGTTTATTTCAACTTATTCTCTCTTTTTTCCCTGTTTATCTTAATGTCTCTTTTCTTTTTCAATTGCTCTTATTTAAGATGATATGAACTCAGGAATATTTAAGGTTAACACTGGTCGAATTTTGCCATAGAAAATTCATCAAGCAAGATTGGATGAGCATGAAAAAAAAAATCTAAGTCATAAATATAAGAACATAAAAAATTGTTAAATGACACAACATGATTTCGTGCGTTAAAACATTTATTCTAGAACGAATTAGGACTAATTAAAAGGTGATTATAGTTTCAGGGCTATTAATTAAATTCACAAATTTAATTAACAATTAACAAAATAATTTTATTCGCAAACTTCCTTATCTTCGGCTGCACAACATGTGCGGTCAAGAGCAGATTGAATCAATCGGTCGCTGCGGTTACAACTCGTCTCGGAATCCGAGAAATCGTCAATACACGAAACGGGATTTTACGCCTGGAAACAAACATCACTCCAACGGCTATATTTTCCCAACCCCGCCAACGAAAATAGCTAACTCTACGCTCCCAAATAACCCCGACCACCCTCTCTCTCCCTCTCTCTCTCCTAACTCTCCTCTTCCTTTAATGGCGATCTAGGTTCTAAAAAATGGCAGCTTTTTAGACAATCATTCACCTCTGCATTTTTTATTTTTGAATTCCATTTGGCCGCCGGAGATGGGATCCAGGGAGTACACCGAAATTCCCCTCGCCGACTCCGTTGATTTTGAACTCGGCCTTGTCCACCGGACATCCTCGCCTGAATATTTAGGAGGCGGCGGCGGCGGAAGCGCAGGAAAGCTGCCAAAGTCAGAGAAGAAAAAGAGCTTCGCAAGGCTAATGGTATCGAGGTCGGGGGTGGAACAGGGAGCGGAGAAGACCCCATGTCCAATACAGAGACTGCAATCGAACGCAGAAATGGGGCTCCGAGGACTTCGGTTCCTCGACAAGAACAGCAGCAAGGAAGGAGAAGGGTGGAAGGCGGTGGAGAAGAGGTTCGAGCAATTCGCCGTTGCTGGGAAGCTGCACAAGGAGAATTTCGGCCGATGCATTGGTGAGTGTCTCAGTCAAAAGCCACTGCTTTAAATTCTGGATTTCATCCCCGTCTGTTTCCATTGATGAATGGAAACGTCGATAAATTATGAGCTGATTATGAAGCTATAAACACTGATTTATGTTTTAAAGCTGTTTTCTACTTTCTTTTTCCGATGAGGAATTGGAATTGAAGGATTGAAGGTGTTTGCAATTCTGATTTCGTTCTTATCAGGAATGGCAGATTCCAAAGAATTTGCGGTGGAACTATTTGAAGCACTGGCAAGAGGGCGAGGCTTGGATCCTGAGAACAGCATCTCAAAAGATGAACTTAAGGAGTTCTGGGAAGAGATGACTGATCAAAATTTCGATTCCCGTCTTCGGATTTTCTTTGATATGTACGAAATCAAAAGCAGCTTCAAACCTTCTTAAATCTATCAGTATTTTGCATGAAAATTTGTTCTGAAGTGCATGCGATGGATTGCAGGTGCGACAAGAATGGTGATGGAAAACTCACTGAAGATGAAGTGAAAGAGGTATGTAGTCAAACACATCACTTTTTAGACCTTATTAGGTTGCTTAAAGTTATAAAACATTTATAAAGCACACAAAATTTACTAGATTATATAATATGATTTGATGAAGTTACTATTTAACATTGATTTAATTTTTACCAACAATTTCGGAATCCCTGGGAAAGTGAAACTAAAACGCTTATACTTTGAAACATGATTTTTATCTATTAACCTTGAAATCACATATTTGCATGACAAAGGATATTTTTATGACTTTATTTTTAGGTGATAATTTTAAGCGCATCTGCAAACAAACTAGCCAAACTGAAGGGACATGCCACAACCTATGCTTCTCTCATCATGGAAGAACTTGATCCAGATCATCTTGGTTACATTGAGGTAAGAAGCCAAATCAACTTAATTGTACGGTTAACTGGAATAAGGTCCCAAAAATTATTACAAAAATGGAAGATTCACATACATACCACTCAAGTCCAATGTATTTACATATTCAACGCCTGAACATGAATTTTTACTTGTATGCACTTCACCTACGCATGCAAAGATGCATTTCACTTTTAAAACGCAAATATAGTGCCTTTTTTTTTTTTTTTTTTTTTTTTTTTTTTTTTTTGTGTTATGAAAGATTTGAGTGGTCGAAATATCAAACTGTAAGGTCTAAGTGTTAGAAATATAAATACATAGGAATCCGGCGGTATGTATGTAAATGACCCTAAACCAACTTCCAATTTTTCAAGATATGGCAACTGGAGACCTTGCTTCGTGGAATGGTTAACTCTGAAGAAAATAATGAGAAGTTGATGAAAAGATCACAAACACTCATGAAGACAATGATACCGAGCCGATATCGAAACACCATCAACTGCTCGGTGAACAAAGCCATGGAGTTCGTTCTTGAGAACTGGAAGAGAATTTGGGTCCTCGGCCTCTGGTTGTTACTTAACACATCCCTTTTTTCTTGGAAATTCTATCAGTATAGGAGAAGAGTAGCATTTGAAGTGATGGGTTACTGCGTTTGTATTGCAAAAGGCGCTGCCGAAACACTAAAATTAAACATGGCTCTCATTCTCCTTCCCGTCTGTCGCAACACACTGACGACGCTTAGGTCAACAAGTCTGAGTTCCATATTTCCTTTTGATGACAACATCAACTTTCATAAGGTTAGTTATGCAATCCAATTTCTTCTAAAAGTTTGATTATTTACAAATATATTTCCATTTTTTTGTCTCCAATACTACAGACTGTAGCAGTAGGAATTACTATCGGTAGCTTGGTGCATACAATATTCCATGTGACGTGTGATTTTTTGAGATTGGTTTCATGTCCAAATCAAAAGTTCATGGGAACATTAGGAGTTGATTTTCATTTCAAACAACCAACATATCTTGATCTGCTTGCGAGCACTCCTGGGTGGACCGGGACGACCATGATTGTCCTCATGGGCTTCTCCTTCATATTGGCAACTCATTCTTTTAGGAGGAATGTGGTGAAACTTCCATCACCTTTCCATTACTTAGCCGGTTTTAATGCTTTTTGGTATGCTCATCACCTCCTTGCTATTGTCTATGTGCTCCTCATCATCCATTCATTCTTTATCTTCCTCACCCATGAATGGTACAAGAAGACGGTAAGTCTACAAAATCATTTATAACAAATTAACTGGCATCATTTTCTTGCATAAATTAAAGTGATTTCAAATAGAAATAAAAAAGCATCATGTTTTGTGCAGACATGGATGTATATTGTGGTTCCTGTGGCATTCTACACCTGTGAGAGGTTGATCAGAGCATTCCGCGAGAAACATTATCGTGTTAACATTGCTAAGGTAAAATAAAAATAAATATTGCTAACTTTTACAAGAATAAAATCAACAAATATAGTTAATGTACTAAAATTTAGTTTTGCAATGCAGGCTGCCATATATCCTGGCAATGTTCTTTCAATACACATGACAAAGCCACCAGGCTTTAGATATAAAAGTGGGATGTATCTTTTTGTTAAATGTCCCGATGTGTCACCATTTGAATGGTATTCCACCTAATTAGCCAAAAATGGATTATGATTTTAAAAGAGAGAATTGTCAAAATAGTCATACTGAATTTTAGTACAGGGTCAATTTAGTCCCAAAATTTATAAAACTGTGAATTTAATCCCTAGATTTTTTTTATTATGAGTAAAAAAAATCACATTTGACACTTTTATTGACTTTGAGACTAAATTGGCGCCATGTAAATAGTTGGGAGAATATTTTGGCAATTTACTTGATTTCAAAATGATAAGTTTATGATTCTATCTTAATTCTAAACAGGCATCCATTTTCAATCACTTCTGCGCCCGGTGATGATCACTTGAGTGTTCATATTAGAACCTTGGGAGACTGGACAACTGAGCTTAGAAATTTATTTGGAAAGGTATTATATTAAGTTAAAAAATTATGTCAAATAATGCTTAAAATCAAATGTTCAAAGGCTTAGTATTTAAATAAATTTTATCTGGCTACAGGACTTGAAATTTAAATAAATTTATCTTGCTACAGGTCTGTGAGGTTCAGGTAACTTCTAAAAATGTAATAAGTCTAGCACGATTAGAAACTACAGTTGTAGCAGATGCTACATTTCAAGAAACAAGGTATGATAATAGATAAAACAAATTTATTTTTTTATCTTGTGTGTTAATGCATAATATTTTGTTTAAAAATTACATAAATATTTTGTAGATTTCCAAAGCTTCTAATTGATGGACCTTATGGAGCACCAGCTCAGAGCTACACTAAATATGATATCCTTCTCCTCATTGGACTTGGAATTGGTGCAACTCCTTTCATTAGCATATTGAAGGATCTTATAAACAATATAAAGTCAAATGAAGTAAAATTCAAAACCAAATTTTCAACAATCATTACATATTCAATATAAAAACTAATAAGCATTGAACTACTACAGGAAGCACAAAGCATAAGTATGTCAGATCTGAACAACAATAAAAGTAAATGTCCAGAAAGAGCTTACTTTTACTGGGTGACAAGAGAACAAGGCTCCTTTGAATGGTTCAAAGGTGTAATGAACGATGTTGCAGAGAGTGATCATAATGTAAATAATTCATTAGAGTAACTGCCAAAATAGTCCTCTAACTATTTACAAGGGGCCATTTTAGTCCCAAAGTCTATAAACATGTTAAATTAGTCTCCAAAATCTTTAAATTAGTGATGAGATAGTCCTTTATGGGGACTATTTCAGCTCAAATTAAAACAATTTGAGGACTAAATTGGCATTTTTATAAACTTTATGGTTAAAATAACCATCTATAAAGAGTCAAGAGACTATTTTGATACTTTTTCTATTTCTTCATGAACACAAATATGCTTCATTGCTCCCTTTCTCAACAACTAGTAGCAATTTTGGTGTGCAGAATATTATAGAAATGCACAATTACCTGACGAGTGTATATGAAGAAGGTGATGCTAGATCAGCTCTTATAGCTATGGTTCAATCACTGCAACATGCGAAGAATGGAGTAGACATCGTCTCGGGAAGCCGGGTAACTATCCTCTGACTATAATTTAGGAGTAATGTGTCAAATTAGTCCACTGACTATTTACACGGGGCCATTGAAGTCTTAGAGTCTATAAAAGTACCAAATTATTCACTATAATATTTTAATTGAGGTTGAAACAATCCTCAATTTTAAAATTGATGTATTTACACAATCAAGAATCAAGATGCCCCCTGTTAAAAGTTAGATGATTATTTTAACACTTTTCTCTATAATTTATTATAAATCCTTGTGTTAGGCATTATATCTGAAAAAAACTAAATGATTTATGGGCAATAGATTCGAACTCACTTTGCAAGGCCAAACTGGAGGAAAGTGTTCAGTGAATTAGCAAATGCCCACAAATCTTCTCGTATTGGTAAAATGACTATACTCAAATAATCTATTGTTCTTTTAGTAAAGCATTAATATTCTATTTTTTAATTAAAATATTGAAGTTGCAGGTGTTTTTTATTGTGGCTCACCGACACTAACAAAACTACTGAAGAAACTTTCACAAGAATTCAGTCATACTACGACAACTCGGTTCCATTTTCACAAAGAGAACTTCTAGTTTTAGCAGAGAGGAAGTAATTTGAAATAACATAGAGTTGTACAGTTACAAAAAAAATGGCGAGGGTGGGAGTGGGACGGGAATGAGAAGATAAATATTTTCTTAGTATATGTTTGGAGAGAAATTCAATAGAAGTGTGAAAGTGAAATTGTTTTCAATTTAAATGAGGGATTTTGGGGTGTATAACTTATATTCATTGATGTGTTGTTTGTATTAACTCTTTGCCTATTCAAGGATAGTATAGCCATATATGATGGAATGCAATCAGGAGGAAATTAAATAAAAAGACATCTTCTTAATCATGATCAATTATGTATGTATTGACACTATTTAATTTTATCATTATGCTACAATAAGAAGAAGAAGAAGAAGCATTATCCCGCTAAGTGGGGTTGTGTTGACCTCACTTCTGGTTGAGGTTAGTTTTCTCCTCTTTAGTAGTCTGGGGTCTAGACAAATGACTTTCCTGTTGACTATTCTTAAAAAACTAGAAAAAGAGCCCTCACAATTATAAATTCTAAACTATTTTGTGCTCAACTTGAATTTTGATATACTGGTTCTAACCTCTAGCACTTAGTAGGTGGGACTGTCGGCACTATTTTTGGTGAGGGGTTTGCCCGTAGGAAGCTGTCGGCCATCGGAATTGAAATTTATTTTTGAAAAAGATGAAGTCAAACTGACCCCATAATTTTCATAGTTTAAATGAAAGAGCGCTTTACCTCAAATCATGTATCTATCCCGAAGGATGAACACAAGAATTGAGGGTGAGGCTCGATCAAATAAACTAAAGAAAGTTATGACATTCGTTTGGTCTGCGAAACCAATGTATTGGCCGACAAATTCCCCTATTTAATATAAGGAATTACATAGAGTTTATATTATGCTGGGTTCGGGAAAAGCTTCCTATAAGGGCAAGCCCCTATAGTTAATTACATCTTAGATAACTGAAGTTACCTAAGAATACTCTAGATAGAAATCAAGGAAAAATTATCTTCAAGGAATTCAAATGGTAAGGACATCTCAAAGATATCGGACTAAGAAGTGTGAAAGGGGATTGGTTCAAATTTAGAACATTTTATTTTGGAGTCCAAAGGAGGAAACACTAGAGAATGTCACAGATCCAAAGGAGAACTTCGGTGACTTCCTAAGCTATCCTATTATT